ACATCCTCGTGTACGTCGACGACTTGGTCTTTGCTACTGCTGACACTGAGGCACTCGCTCGTGTGAAGTCGGAGCTGCAGAAGAGACACACCTGCACTGACCTGGGTGAACTGCGTAGCTACCTTGGCTTGCAGATCACCCGGGACAGAGCTCGCCGCACCATCACCCTGACTCAGTCACACATGGTGCAGCAGGTCCTTCAGCGCTTCGGCTTCCAGTTCTCCTCACCACAGGCCACACCTCTGGCTACCAGCCACTCGCTCTCAGCTCCACCTTCGGACGAGTCCGTAGAGCCGAGTGGCCCGTACCCAGAGCTTGTAGGCTGCCTCATGTACCTGATGACTTGCACGCGACCTGACCTCGCGTACCCTCTTAGCATCCTTGCTCGTTACGTTGCGCCTGGGAGACACAGGCGAGAGCACTGGGAGGCTGCTAAGAGGGTGCTGCGTTACCTGTGCAGTACATCAGGCATGGGGCTGGTGCTTGGAGGACGCGACAGAGTTGTCCTCACTGGTCACTCGGACGCCTCTTGGGTGGACGACCTAGCTACGCAGCGGTCGTCACAGGGTTACACCTTCAGCCTTGGCTCAGGTTCTGTCTCGTGGCGGTCCACCCGCTCTTCCTCTGTTCTCGGCTCTAGTTGTGAGGCTGAGATCTACGCCACAGCCATGGCTGCACAGGAGTTACGCTGGCTCACCTACCTGCTGACTGACTTGGGAGAGCGGCCTAGTTCTCCTCCAGTTCTGTATGGTGACAACAAGGCGGCTCTTGCCTTGTGTCAGGAGCACAGACTGGAGCACAGGACGAAGCATATTGCTCTTCGCTACTTTCTTGCTCGAGAGCTTCAGCAGCGCGGTCAGCTTCGGCTTGTGTACGTGGACTCGAAGGCCAACACTGCTGATATCTTCACCAAGGCGCTCCCGCCTAGTGACCATCAGCGGCACTGTACTTCTTTAGGCCTTGTGTCCACGTTTCCTCACTTGCTCACTGCTTGACATTCTTTGTACTGTACTTTATATATATCTTGTTGCTTGTCTTGTACTATATCTAGCACTGCATGTGAACTGGCCTTGTGGCCTTTGCTTGTGCTCGGAGTGTGGTGACGTTGTGATCCACCCTGGGCTTTGCTTTGCTTTGCTGGACTGGTCTTGTGACCCTTTGTTCTCCCCCACTTTGCCTATGGGGGTGTGTTAAACTATATTATGCTTGTAGGCTGTAGTGGGGTAGCCAATATGGGGTACAACCCCAACTAGGGTTTGCTACTTGTACCCAATTCTTCCATTCAATGCACCATTCTTGCCTAGTGATTCTGATAGCTTGTGCTTGGAGGGCGGGACCGGGTTGTTCTCACAGGGCACTCAGATGCTTCTTGGGCAGACGACCAGGCTACTCAGCGGTCGTCACAGGGTTACACCTTCAGCCTTGGCTCTGGCTCAGTTTCTTGGCGTTCTACTCGTTCGTCTTCTGTTCTCAGCTCCAGTTGTGAGGCTGAGATCTACGCCACAGCCATGGCTGCTCAGGAGCTGCGCTGGCTGACCTACCTGCTGACCGACCTCGGAGAGCGGCCTCGTTCTCCTCCAGTGCTGTACGTCGACAACAAGGCTGCCATTGCCTTGTGTGAGGAGCACAGACTGGAGCACAGAACGAAGCACATTGCTCTGCGGTACTTCCTTGCTCGAGAGCTGCAGCAGCGCGGTCAGCTTCGTCTGCGTTACGTGGCCACTGAGGCCAACACTGCTGATGTGTTCACCAAGGCACTCCAGCCTTGTGACCATCAGCGCTTCTGTACTCTGTTAGGTCTTGTGCCTACTGGCCCTCACTTGCTCACTTCTTGACTTTGCCTGTACTGTGATCACTATATATTTATATACCTGCATGTTTACTCTTGCTAGGTTGTGATCATTGTACGTCTTGCTCTATTATAAACCTGCATGTGAACTGGTCTTGTGACCGCTTGTTTGTGCTCGGAATTTGTGTGGAATCCTCGAGATCCACCCTGAGCTTGTTTGCCTTACTTTGCCTTGACTGGTCTTGTGACCCCTAGGTCTCCCCCACTTTGCCTATGGGGGTGTGTCAAACATTATATATGTTTGGTTTGTTAGGCTACAGTGGGTTAGCCTGTATGGGGTACACAATTCTAGGGTTAGCTATTTGTACTGATTTCTCTGTTAGTTCAACCATTCCAGTCTCGTAATCTTGACAGACAAGACTGTGACTCGCCCCTCCGTCAACAAATGCTTTTATTTTATAGTCGTTAACCCTCCCTACTACCAACATAGGGTGGTCCTCGTGCTCACCCGCGTTATTCATCCGATTGCGGTCGACGGCTCGGATCGGTACCACAACTTGGTGTGGTTTATGATTGTCGGGCGACAGCGTCTCGTCAGTAGGGCGCCCGTCTGCTACCGACTCGTCTCTTTTCCCAACCCTTCTCCGTCGTTCCGCTTCCCCTGTTTAAACTTCGGCGGTCTCTCCTCAAGTGGCCCAGCTGGTTGCATGCAAAGCACGGCTAGGTGGCTCGGCTTGGTGCATCCACGCCGTTGATCGTGGGCTGCTGATTTAGTCCACGAATTGAGGGCCCTCCCGGAAGCTCGATCTCGACCACTGCATCAGCGCATCCGTTAGTTCGGCTTCGCGGGCGGCATCATTAAAACTGCATAGCCGCAACGTAGGACTTCGGACTGTATGTCTTATTTTAGTCCTGCCACGTAGCAATCCAACCACTCCGCATCGCTCATATCGTCCACCTGGTCAGGCAAATTGTAGAATGTGCTGGTATAGTCTGGAGCGAATCAGCTGCTTCCAGGTACGCAACTTCATGCGGGCGGAATTCGGGCGGATATGTGCTCAAACCTGGCTCGCAATGCGGCGCCCCACTCCTTCCATGTGCGTATCGTGGCCGTCCCAAAAATCGAAGCTGCTCGCTGTGTGACAGGTCCCGTCGTATGCACTTGTGATCCCTGTTGAAGTCCCCTAGCTTTGCTGCGTTCGTCGCCACCACTCCAATGTAGGTCCTCCTAACAGTGATACTGCAAAATTAATGCGGATAGCGTCAGCATTAATCATCGCAGCGTTAAAGAACACCTCCACGCCAAAAAACCATGTAGAAACAGTGACAAATTTGTCACTTGGGTTAAATGGGGGCGGGTTCGTCGGCTTAATCTTGACAGTTGTTGAAGCTGCCACTGCCACTAAGACTGTTGCCACTGCTCATGTCGTTGCCGGTGCTGTCGCTGGTGCACGTGTCGGCACTGCGCGTGACTATTGTCATTGCGACTATTGTTGTTGCGCCCGCCTTGCATCTGCAGCATCCATAGAGCCCTCGAGCTAACTGAAGACGACCTCGATCGGCGTGAAGCTACTACTTGCTTCCTCCACGACAGACGACTCCTGGCGCACTTCCCTCAGTGCTCAACCTCCCCAGACATCGTCTGCAAGTTGGCCTGCATCACCAGAAACTGTTGCACGAACTCGTCAAACTCCGCTTGCTCCATGTTTCTAAGGCTTCGTCTAACGGGCAGGAGGTTGATAGCGATTTTGATGACTTTGATGAAGGCACAAACTCTATCGTAGTCGGAGTGAAATAATCGTATCTATTTCACAGGCCAACTGCTTTGCAGCCCACCAAGTCTATCGCTCCCATTGCACAAACTACCCCGAAAGCGCGAGGGTAACCTAGGAAAGTAGCTCTGATACCAAGTGTTATGAGTTGTAATGAAGAAGAGTGCGCATGATTCAATAACGCAAAAGTGAATACAAACGAATGAGCAAATAGTGAAGCCTAACACTAGTACAGCAAAGCTAGCTAGGCCGAAGTCGCGAAATCGCGATATGGTTGGGTGCAGGTTTGGGGTGGGAAAACTCGAAGGCGACGCGATGGTGGTTCGGAGAGCGAGGTCATCGGACCGAGTTTGAACTTCCAAAACTGGAGTCCTACGCGTACAGTGTGACCCAGTAAGGAATTACAAAAAAAAAAAAAAAAAAAAAAAAAACAAGAGGCGACGAAATCGTCTTAGGGTTGCGAAGCAACACTGGTAAACATGCACCATTACAGGTCGCAACAATCGCTCTATAACGATGGCATTGTCTTAGGTTTCAATCAAGATAAATATTAGCACGAGCGATGCTTCGTATGAGCAAGAATCTAGTCTCTCAGTTTCAATCTCAATAATAGATTTCAATTTCAACCTCACTGTTATCTTACCTGCAAATTGTGAAAAGGGAATTGAACATTTTGTTTAGTTGTTTAAAATTAACTACTCAAGAATTATGTAACAGAGTATTCTCTTCAATTTGCAAAAATCAGATCAGCAGAGGCAAGTGAAAACGGATCTTCCGTAAGCAACATTCGAACCCTAGCACTCCTTACCCCGAAACCGAACTCTACTCGCTAGGACAATGAGTCATGTTCGTCAGAAGCTGCTTTATTATATATACATTTTTTTATGTTTGGCAGCACAACATCTAGGGTTTCATTCTTCTCCTCTTCGTTTTTCCCGTTATGCTTGTGGGAGCTCACCTTGGTCCTTGCTCTCGTTTTGGCGCTAGCTCACCTCAGCTAGCTTCCTTGGTTAGGTAAGCTTCAGCTTCTCTTCGCTTATGCCTACGACCTACTCCGAAAGTAGGTTAGTAGGTATGTTAGATGTCTTACCTAACGCCGTGTTAGAAGCTGCTGCAGATTTCGACCTATTCAGGTAGGTCGATTCCTTGCCTGAAAACCGTTTCGAGGTTCTACCGGTATTTCCTAGCTTCTGCCATTCGTTTTCGTTTTTTAACCTCGCTTTCTTCCTAGTTTATGCACCGTACTTTTCTTCTCTCCTTCCCTCTGCTTCTCTCCACTTCTTCCCATCTTCCGCTCTCCTTTTTTCCGATTTACATTGGTCGTGCTTGCTCTTTTCAGCTCCTGCTCTTACTCTTGTTTTCTTCCATACGCTGTTTCTTGATTTCTTCCTCCACCTTAATGGAATTTTGAATAGATCTTTACAATTCTGTTCAGAGAGTTAGTTCACTAGGTAGGAGCATATTCTCTCTCTCTCTCGATCTCTCTCACTCGTTCTCTTTCTCTTTCTCTCTCTTACTCGTCCTCTCTCTCTCTCTCTCTCTCTCTCTCTCTCTCTCTCTCTCTCTCTCTCTCTCTCTCTCTCTCTCTCTCTCTCTCTCTCTCTCTCGTTCTCTTTCTCTCGTTCTCCCTCCCTCGTTCTCTCACTCGTTCTCTCTCTCGCGTTCGCTCTCTCTCGTTCCCTCTCTCTCGTTCTCGTTCTATCTCTCTCGCTATATCGTTCTCTCTCTTTCTCGTTCTCGTTCTCTCCTCTCCGTTCTCGTTCTCTCTCTCTCTCTCTCTCCTCTCTATCTCTATCTCTCTCTCTCTCTCTTCTCTCTCTCTCTCTCTCTCTCTCTCTCTCTCTCTCTCTCTCTCTCTCTCTCGTTCTCGTTCTCTCTCTCGTTTTCACTCTCTCGTTCTCTCTCTCCTTCGTTCTCCTTCGTTCTCTCGTTCTCATTCGTTCTCTCTCTCTCTCTCTCTCTCTCTCTCTCTCTCTCTCTCTCTCTCTCTCTCTCTCTCTCTCTCTCTCTCTCTCTCTCTCTCTCTCTCTCTCTCGTTCGTTCTTTCTCGCTCGTTCGTTCTCTCTCGTTCGTCCTCTCTCTCTCGTCCTCTCTCTCTGTCGTCCTCTCTCTCTCTTTTGAATCCATTCATGATTCTTCTTGTTTTCTCTGCTTCTTCCTTTCGGTTGATTTTCTTTCACCGTATTCGCTGCTCGTCCCTTCTACTCGTTTTCCTTTCTTCGTCTTGTGATGGTTGTTTTATTTCTTCACCAGGTTGCGCGTACGCCAGATTAACTACCTTATGATTGAGCCAAGCGATTGAGAAATGTTGAATTGTAAAATTTGATTTAGGTTGTTGTTCATAAATTTTGCATCTTCTGTTTTCATTTCTTCCTACTTGTCTTTATCGTTTGTGCATTTGTATGCGGTAGTTTGCCTTCGTGTGTATGTGCGTATGCGTCATTGTGTGCATGCATGTGTTTTTTTTTTTTTTTTTATGTTCATCATTGCCATCAACAATGCATGTCTGTTAATTTTTAAAAAGGGGTTCATTTCTATCATTTCTCATTGGTTCATTGGCGCACTCAGTGACTCGTGTGTTTGCCACTTCGAACTGGATTTGATAGAGTGAACCTCTTTTTTAGAGTTAACAGATTGTATTGTTTCATGTGCTAGTTGATTATTCAAAGACTTTGCTATTGACTTCCCCCCCATGCTAGGCAGGGGATGCGGTAGCCTAGTTTTTGGGTCGTTAACTATCACGCATTTGTATGATATACTGGTGTGGTGCATTTCAGCATATCATATGCATACAAAAGCATTTTTCATGCGTTGTAACAGTATTAGGTATGCATCTATATATCATGTCTCATCATTACATCCATTTAAGCATGCGTGGCGTGTAATTCATTACTAGTATTCACAACATTTATCACAACATATCAAACAATAAAAGATATAATACAAACAGTATAATATGCACGTAACTGGTACTACAAAGACAGCTACCAATACTGTTCAACATGCACAATGGGAAGGGTCGTACTGTAGCTGACGAATTTTATTTTCATGGTTTATTAAAAAAAATCATGAAAAAAAAATTGTCAAAATCGATCGTAAAGGGTTGCTTCGCAACCCAAAAACCTTAGGGTTCGGAAACTTGTAAGGGCGGGGTCAGCGCGTTCATTTTCGCTTGTTTTTCAAAACTTTGACACCTCTCGAATCAGGAAATCTACTGTAGTAAAAAATGTACTCCGCCCTGGCTGTGTCCAGGGCGGGACACTCGCGAACAACAGTTGGCTCATGTCACACCACACTTCTAGGGAACCGAGCACACTGTTAGGTAACCCTGTGCTCGCGAGCTCCAGGGGGGAAACATTCGCGCACTCAAGATACCCGAAACACATCGCATTGCCGCTCACAATCAACGGCCTTCCAATCTCTGTTTTGCTTATCTTTCGGTTTGCGAGACTCCCACGCTCTTCACGAAGTCGTGGTGTGGTTACGCTTACCTGCGTACAGTAGCGCTCGAAAGTTGGCGGGGTGTTTGCGGGCGTTAAAGCCCGGGTACAGCATGGTTATTTTCAAGTTCAAGATTCTTGAATTTGAAATCGTCAAAAACAGGGTTACCCTACTTTATTGCTCAGAACTCTCGCGACTCTGGGGACAACGCCTACCGACACTCTCTCCTAATTGGCTGATGTGCACGATCGCAAAACAGAACCGAGCGTCGCTCAGGTTGGCCCGCTGTTTGGCTCACACATATCTTTATCGCCTAGTAGTACTCATGACTGGCCTAGGCTCTCACGTAAGTAGAAAGCGAGTGCGTCATCAGCTAGTACCACGTGACCGCGATTTTTACGGCAGCTCTCGTCACTCATGCTGTCTCGTCAATAGCTAGGCAGCACAAGCCTAGAATCGCTGCAGATTTTTACAAAACGTTGTCGCCACACTCACACGGAACGTATGAGCCAAACGAGTGCGACACCATTCTACCCCACGTCTAGCTCGAGCCGTCACCCGCGCTCCCCCTCGCCAGTCGCGCTTCTCCTCGTCGCCCGCGCGCGCACCCCGAACCGTCGCCCGCGCGCGCTTCTCGTCGTCGCCGCGCGCGCTTCTCCTCGTCGTCCCCGCGCGCTTTTCCACGTCGCTCGCCCGCGCGGCTCCTCGTCGCCCGCGCGCGCTTCTCCTCGTCGCCCGCGCGCGCTTCTTCTCGTCGCCCCGCCTCTTTATTTCGCCCAAGCTTCCTCCCTCCATCCCACCCTCTCCCCTCTCTTCCTCTCTCCCTCCGTCCCTCCCTACCTTGCTCTCTACCTTCATTCCTCTGTCCCTCTCTCCCTCTCCCTCTCTTCCCTTTCTCGCTCTCTTGCCT